TGAACAGACAACAAAATTCGTCCCGGTAACCGAGCCAGCCCGGTTACCGGGCTCATATGAAGAGGCCCTAAGAGCTAAATTTCGTCTAAGAGGTAAATTACGTCTAAGTGATAAATTTCGTCTACGTCGTAAATTTCGTCTAAGAGGAAATTTCGTCTCAGTGAGAACTAAATTTCGTCTAAAATCAATGTATCGGATTATAAGGGTAGTGAGTAGAAGGCTAATAAAGATCTTGTGTACTAAACGGAAAAATTACGGTGAAATTTTCTTTTTTTTGTGGATGTCTTTCATTCAACTTCTACCGGTTACAACTTCAAATGGGACCATTTCGAGATCCAAGCAAGTGTGCTATGTGATTTACAGTGTAAAATCAGGGAAACATTGTTAATACGGGACTTGAAACCCGTTTTAAATGAAAACGTCCGTAGTGAAAAACTGTTTCTTTATTAATTCACACCTGATGTAGTTTCTTTTGTTCGTTGTTGTCTAGGTAGTTACCAATACCTCGCTTTAGTTTTATTCTTTTTAAAATCTGTCATATTTTGTAACCGTCACTTCTGAAGATGTGTGTTGCAACATACGAAACGTCAAGTTGAATATACCATGCGTAATCTATTTGTTATGTTTGTTTCCGCTGTTTCTTTCCTCTTTCTCCTTATGGATGTCTGTTCTCGAGATACCCGTTGATTGAAATCCTGGAGGTCCCCCCGTGAAAGAAAAAAAGACTCTTTTAACAGGGCTACTTACAGTGGTAAACCTAGGGGGTGGATAGCAACTCCCTATTTTTGTAGAAAAATATATAGCCTCATGTTGTGGACAAATTAACTTTAAGGGAAAACGTCCAGGAATGAGGTTGCTGTTTATAGAGCAACAAAAGACGGATCACAAAAGAGTCAATGTAGACTTCTGTTCATTGGGCTCAAGATTGCGCGACGAATCAAAAGAGCGTCTGGACGTTGAGTAAGTCGCGTACAAGTTCGCGGAAAATATGATGGAAAACAGGAAAATTAATAACGCCACTGGAAACTTTCTTCCCGGGCAG